TCCAGCTGTACACCTTGTTATCTCAGGAACAGGAGGAGGCCACTCAGCCTTCCCTCAAACCTGTTACACGGGAATAGGAAGAGACCATTTAGCTTCCCCTCAAGCCTGTTCCACAAGATTAGGAAGAGGCCATCTTTGGTTAAGGTCTTGCAAAACTTATATTATGGACACTGTTCGACTGTCTCATAGGTTTAAAATAAATTATGCCATCATCCGTAGGAATGTGATCTGTCATAGGAGAGGAGTTACACTATTATGTGATCTCTACCTTAGGGGTGACACACTACTGATAGGGCGGGACCAAGTTCTGACGGCGATGGTGAGTTTGGAGAATGCGCATGAAGACTCGGACAAACCTCAGCTGCACTTCTACTACCCAAGCTGTCTCAACTTCAGGAAGATCAGCCCTGTACAGGTGAGGAGGCAGGAACTCAGCTCCCAGCCTGAAAAACACAGACCTGTACTCAGGATCTATCCCATGCTGTCCCTGTCCTGGGAGCGTTTGATGGGGACAGTGTAGAAGAATCTCTACTGTGTATCTAACACTGTGCTGTCTGTGTGCTAGGAATGTTTGACGGGTATAGTGTAGAGGAGGCTTTACTCTGTATCTAACCCCATGCTGCCCCTGTCCTGGGAGTATTTGATGAGGGTAGTGTAGAGAGAGCTTTACACTGTATCTCACCCTGCTGTATCTCACCCAGTGCTGTCCCTGTCCTGAGAGTATTTGACGGGGACAGTGTAGAAGAAGCTTTACTCTGTATCTAACACCATGCTGCCTATGTCCTGGGAATGTTTGTTGGGGACAGTGTATTGACAGCTTTGCACTGTATCTGACCCCGTCCTGCCCCTGTTGTGCGAGTTTTTAATTGGGGGACAGTGCAGAGGAAGGCTGACTGTGCTCCTAACCCTGTGCTGTCCATGTCAGTAAAGCAGGAGAAGCTTTACTCTGTGTCTAACCCTATGGTGTCTCTGCCCTAGGAGTGTTTGATGGGTACGGTGTAGAGGAGCTTTACGCTGTATCTAACATCGTGATGTCCTTGTACTGGGTGTGTTTGACGGGGCAGTGCAGAGGGAGCGTTACTCTGTGTTTAATTCTGTGTTGTCCCTGTGTGGATGTGTTCGATAGGAACAGTGTAGAGGAAGCTTTACTCAGGATCTAATCCCATGATGTCCCTGTGTGGGTGTGTTTAATGGAGCACAGTGGAGAGGGAGATTTACTCTGTATCTACCCAGTGGTATCCTTGTCCTGAGAATGTTTGATCGGGACAGCGCAGAGGGAGCAGTAATGTGTTTCTAACCCCATATTGTCCCTGGCTTGGGACTGTCTGATGGGGACAGTGTAGAGGAGGCATTAACCCATACCTCACCCTGTGCTGTCCCTCAGCTAGGAGGGTCTGACGGGAGAATGGTGCAGAGAGCTTCACTCTGCATCTAACCCCGCGCTGTCCGTGTCCTGGGAGTCACTGGGGGCAGTGTAAAGTGAGGTTTATTCTATATCTAACATTGTGATGTACATGCCCTGGCAGTGTTTGATGACGACAGTGTAAAAGGAACTGTACTCTATCTATCTCCATGCTGTCCCTGTCCTGGGACTGTTTGATGGGGACAGTAAAGAAGGAGGTTTGTACTGTATCTGACCCCGTGTTGTCCCTATCCTGAGTGTTTGATCAGGACAGTGTACAGGGAGCTCTACTCTAAATCTAACCCTGTGCTGTCCCTGTTGTGGTTGTGTCTAATGGAAACAATGTAGAGTGTACGTAAATGATTTGGAGGAAAACGTGGCTGGTCTAATTCGTAGGTTTGCGGACGATACAAAGATTGGTGGAATTGCGGATAGCGAGGATAATTGTCAGAGAATACAGCAGGATATAGATCAGTTGGCGGCATGGGTGGAAAAATGGCAGATCGAGTTTAATCCGGACAAATGTGAGGTGATACATTTTGGAAGGTCAAGTACAGTGAATGGCAAAGCCCTTGAGAGTATTAATATGCAGAAGGATCTGGTTGTGCAGGTCCGTAGATCACTGAAAGTGGCAGCGCAGGTAGATAACTTACTTAAAAGGCCTATGACATGCTTGCCTTCATTGGAAAGCACATTGAATCTTAAGATAGACAAGTTATGCTGCAGCTTTATAGAACTTCTGTTAGGCCACACTTGGAATATCGCATACAGTTCTGGTCACCACACTACCGGAAGGACGTGGATGTTTTGGAGAGGGTACAGAAAAGGTTTACCAGGTTGTTGCCTGGTATGCGGGATTATGAAGAAGGGTTGGATAGACTGGGGTTGTGTTCACTGGAACACAGAAGGTTGAGGGGCGACCTGATAGAAGTTTATAAGATTGTGGGATGGATAAAATGGAAAGTGTGGGGCCTTTTCCCAGGGTGGAGAGGTCAATTACTACAGGAGTCAGGATCAAGGTGCAAGGGGCTAAGTTTAAAAGAGATGTGTGAGGCAAGTTTGTCACACAAGGGTGGAGAGTGTCAGGAACGAGCTGCCAGAGGAGGTGGTGGAAGCAGACACAATAGCCGCATTCAAGAAACACCTGGACGAGCACATGAATAGGAAGGGAATGGTGGAGTACGGATCCTGTAAGTGAAGACAGTTTTAGTATGGAAGGGAAAAATGTGACAGCAGAGGACTGGGGGGCCGAAGGGCCTGTTCCTGTGCTGTTTTGTTCTTTGTTCTAGTGGGCTTTACTCAAGATCTAAGCCGATGCTGTTCCTGTGTGGAGTGTGTATATTCTGTGTCTAACCTAATGCTGTCCATGTCCTGAGATATTTGATGCAGACATTGTAGAGAGAGCTTTACTTTATATATAATCGCTCGGCATCCTGGTCTTGGGAGTGTTTGATGGGGACAGCGCAGTGGGAGCTGTGCTCCCAATCAAACCCCATGCTGCCCTTTTGTGGGTATGTTTGATGTGAGACAGTGTACAAGGAACACTACTCTGCATCTAACCCTGAGCTGTCCCTGTCATGAGTGTGTTTGATGGGAACAGTGCAGAGGGAGGTTTACTCTGTATCTAACCTGTGTTGTCCCTGTCCTGGGAGTTTTTGATGAGGACAAGAGTAGTCAGTATCTGATCGCATGCTGTCCCAGTCAGCAGAGTGTCACAGGGATCCCGGGGTGCCACAGGGATCGGTACTGGGACCCCAGATATGGGGACAGTGCAGAGGGAGTGGTACTCTGTATCAAACCCCGAGTGAAGACAGAAACGGAGAATGTATACTGGGGCCAAAGAAATAGCTGAGCCACTGACCACATACTTTGGTTCTGCCTTGACAAAAAGAGGACACAAATCAGATACCAAAAATGGTTGAGAATGCAGGATTTAACGAGAGGGAAGAATTGAGGGAAATTAATATTAGTAGAGAAATGGTGGTGGGAAAATTAATAGGATTGAAGGTGGATAAATTCCCAGGGCCTGATAATCTACATCTTAGAGTACTTAAGGAAGTGGCTCTAGAAATAGTGGATGCTTGGTGGTCATCTTCCAGGATTCTACAGACTCTGGAACGGTCCCTGCAGATTGGAGGGTGGCTAATGTCACTCCAATATTCATAAAGGGAGGTAGAGAGAAAACAGGGAATTATAGACCAATAAGCCAAACATCGGTAGTGGGGAAAACTCTCAAATCCATTATCAAGGACTTCATAGCGGAGCATTTAGAAAGCAGTGGCAGAATCAGACAGAGTCAGCATGAATTTATAAAGGGAAAATCATGCTTGACAAAGCTGTTGGAATTCTACGAAGATTTAACTCTTGGAATTGACAAGGGGGAGCCAATTGGTGTAATATATTTGGACTTTCAGAAAGCATTTGACAAAGTCTCACAGAGGAGATTATAGTGCAAGATTAAAGCGCATGGGATTGGGGGAGTGTATTGAGATGGATAGAAAACTGGTTGGCAGAGAGGAAACAAAGTGTAGAAATTAATGGGTCCTTTTCAAATTGTTAGACAGTAACTAGTGGGGTGCCATAGGGATCGGTGCTGGGATCCCAGCAATTTACAATGTATATTAATGATTTTGATGAGGGAACAAAATGTAACATCTCCAAGTTTGCAGATAATACCAAGTGTGGTGAGAGGGTGAACTGTGACGAGGATGCAGTGATCCTTCGGCATGATCTGGACAGGTTGGGTGAGTCGGCAAATCAATGGCAGATGCAGTATAATTTGGATAAATGTGAAGTTATTCACTTTGGAAGCAAAAACAAGAAAGCAGATTACTACCTGAAATGGCTGTAAATCTGGAGAGGGGAGTGTGCAGCAGGACTTGGGTGTCCTTATGCATCAGTCGCTGAAGGTAAGCATGCAGGTGCAGCAGGCGGTAAAGAAGGCAAATAGTATGTTGGCCTTCATTGCGAGAGGGTTCCTTTATTCTTTATTCATCAACGGGATGAGGGCATCACTGGCTAGGCAGCATTTATTCCCCTTCCCTAATTGCTCATAGGGCAGTTAAGAGTCAACCACATTGCTGTGGGTCTGGAGTCACATGTAGGCCAGACCAGGTAAGGATGGCAGTTTCCTTCCCTAAAGGGCAATAGTGAACCAGATGGGTTTTTTCCGACAATGGATTCACAGTTATTATTAGTTTCTTAATTCCAGATATTTATTGAATTCAAATTCCACCATTTGGCGTGGCAGGACTCGAACCTAAGTCTCCAGAATGTTATCTGGGATTAACAGTCCAGCGATAATACCACTAGGCCATTGCCTCCCCTTAGGTTTCAAGTACAGGAACAGGGATGTGTTGTTGCAGTTTTACAGGGCCTTGGTGACACAGCACCTAGAATATTGTGTGCAGTTTTGGCCTCCTTTTCTGAGGAAGGACACTCTTGCTCTCGAGGGAGTGCAGCCAAGGTTCACCAGGCTGATCCCTGGGATGGCGGGACTAACGTAAGAGGAGAGATTGACTAGGTTAGGATTGTCTTCGCTGGAGTTCAGACGAATGAGGTGGGGAATCTCATAGAAACCTATAAAATTCTAACAGGGTAGATGGAGGGAGGATGTTCTCGAACCAGGAGTCTGAGGATTCAGGGTAGACCATTTAGGATAGAGATGAGGAGACATTTCTTCACCCAAAGAGTGGCGAGCCTGTGGAATTCATTACCACAGGAAGCAGTTGATGTCAAAACATTGAATGTATTCAAGAGGCGGCTAGATTTAGCACTTGGGGCAAATGAGATCAAAGGTTTTGGGGAAAAAGCAGGATTAGGCTATTGAGTTGGATGATCATCCATGATTGCGATGAATGGGGGAGCAGTCTCGAAGGGCTGAATGGCCTCCTCTTGCTCCTATCTTCTATGTTTCTATGAGCTGTCCCTGTTGTGGCTCTTTTTGATGGTAACAATGTAGAGGAAGCTTTACTCCTAGTCTAACCCCATGCTGAGTGTGTTTGATGGGGGACAGTGTGGAGGAAGACTTACACTGTACCCTAACCCCATGCTGCCCTGTCCTGGGAGTGTTTGAATGAGAGATTGTAGAGAGAGATTTACTGTGTATCTCGTCCTCTGCTGTCCCTGTGTGGTTCTGTATGATGGTGGACAATGTAGTGGGTACTTTACTCTGTATGTGACCCTCTGCAGTGCCTGTCCTGGGAGTGTTTGATGGATACAGTGTAGAGGAAGCACTGCTCTGTATCTATTCCTGTGCTTTCCTTGCCATGGGGGTGCTCAATGAGGTCAGTGTACTGAAAGCTTTACTCTGTTCTTACCATTGTGCTGTCCCTCTCCTGGAAGTGTTTGATCGTAGACAGTGTAGAGGGGAGCTTTAGTCTGTATCCAACCCCGTGATCTCCCTGTCTTGGGAGTATTTGATGGGGACAGTGTACAGGGAGCTTTAGTTTGTACCTGACCCTGTGCTGTTCCTGTCGTAGGAGTGTTTGATTTGGATAGTATAGAGGAGAGATTTACTCAGTGTCAGCACGGGGTTAGACACAGTCAGTGCGTCTTTGGGGATAGTATGGAGCGATCTTTACTCTGCATCACGTCCTGTGCTGTCCATGTGTTGGGAGTGTTTGGGGATGGTTTAAAGCAATCTTTACTCTGGATCTTACACCATGCTGTCCCTGTGTGTGTCTGTTTGATGATGGACAGCGTAGAGAGAGCTTTACACTGTACCTAACATCGTGCAATCCCTGTACTAAGAGTTTAATGAGGATAGTTCAGAAAGAGCTTTACTCCACATCTAATCCCATGCTGTTCGTATGTTGGGAGTGTTTGATTGGGTCAATGTAGAGGGATCTTTATTCTGATGGTGGACGGTGCAGAGGGAGGTTTCCTCTGCACCTGAGTCCGTCCTGTCCCCTGTCCCAGGTGTGTTTGATACCAACAGTGTACAGGGAGCTTTCCTCAGATTCTAACTCCATTCAGTCCATGTGTGGCTGTGCTTCACGGGGGTGAGTGTGAAGGGTGATTTACACTGCATCTAATCCCTTGCTTTCCCAGTCCTGGGAGTGTTTGATGGGGACAATATGGAGAGAGCTTTACTCCGTATCTAATTCTGTGCTGTCCCTGTTCTTGTAGTGTTTGGTGCATAGAATGTCGAGGAAGCTTTACTCTGTATCTTACCCTGTGCTGCCCCTGTGTGGGTCTGTATGACGGTGGACAGTGTAGTGGGAGCTTTATGCTGTGTCAAACCCAATGCTGTCCTTGTGCTGGGAGTGTTTAATAGGGACAATATGGAGAAACATAGAAAATAGGTGCAGGAGTAGGCTATTCGGCCCTTTGAGCCTGCACCACCATTCAATACGATCATGGCTGATCATGCAATCTCAGTGTCCCATTTCCACCCTCTCCCCATACCCCTTGATCCCTTTAGCCACAAGGGCCACGTCCAGCTCTCACTTGGATGTACTTAATGAACTGGCCCCAATGACTTTGTGTGGGAGAGAATTCCACAGGTTCGCAACTCTCTTGAGTGAATAAATTCTTCCTCATCTCAGTCTTGAATGGCTTACCCCTTATTCTTAGACTGTGACCCCTTGTTCTGGACTTCCCCAACATCAGGAACATTCTTCCTGCATCTAGTCTGTCTAGTCCCATCAGGATTTTGTGTGTTTCCATGAGATCCCCTCCTCATCCTTCTAAATTCCAACAAAAACAAGCCCAGCTAATCCAGTCTTTCCTCATATGTCAGTCCTGCCATCCCAGGAATCAGTCTGATGAACCTTTGCTGGACTCCCTCACTAGCAAGAATGTCCCTCCTCAGACTAAGAGTCCAAAACTGCACACAATACTCAAGGTTTGGCCTCACCAAGGCCCTGTATAACTACAGCAAGCCATTCTTACTCTGATACTGCAATCATCTGACTATGAAGGCCAGCATACCATTAGCTTTCCTCACCACCTGCTACACTTGCATGCCAACCTTCAGCGATTGTTCCACCATGACACCTAGGTCTCGTTGCATCTCGCCTTTTCCTAAACTGCCACCATTCAGATAATAATCTGCCTTCCTGCTTTTGCGACCAAAGCGGATAACCTCACATTTATCCACATTGTATTGCATTTGCCAAGTATTTGCCCGCTCAGCCAATTTTTCCAGTCACCCTGCAGTCTCTTAGCATCCTCCTCACTGCACACACTGCCACCCAGTTTAGTGTCATCTGTAAGTTTAGAGATATGGTATTTCAATTCCTTCGTCCAAGTTGTTAATGTATATTGCGAACTGCTGAGGTCCCAGCATTGAACCCTGCGGTACCCCACTCGCCACTGCTTGTCACTCTGAAAAGGAGGAAGACATGGATGGACATATTATCAGGGGAGTTAAAATCTATGGGAACTGGAAGTTTGGGTTACTTGATGCGTGCAAAGCACAGATGCTCCGCGAACCGGGAGAAACTGAGGCTATTCGTAAACTGGAGGAACAACACCTTATATTTCACCTTGGAAGCTTACAGCCCAGTGGCCTTAACATTGACTTCACCAGCTTCAAAATCCCCCCACTGCCAGCCTTATCCCATGTCCAACCCTCCCCCTCCTGACCTGACCTTCCCACAGACCAATCACAATAGCCCCCCTTACCTACATCCACCTATCACCATCTCTCCTACCCTTCTGCCAGCCCCCACCCCCCGCCTTCTATTTATTTCTGGGCTCCCCTCCTCCTCCTCCCCAGTTCTGACTAAGGGTTTCGGCCTGAAACATTGACTTTCCTGCTCCTCTAATGCTGTCTGACCTGCTGTGCTTTTCCAGCCTCACACCTATAAACTCTGGCTTCCAGCGTCTACAGTCCTTATTACTTCCTCTGTCCCCTAACATTTCCTGAAGGTTATTTGTGTCCTTCTTAATGAAGACTGATCCAAAGTATTTGTTTCAACTGGTCTGCCATCTCTTTGCTGTCCATTATGAATTCACCTGATTCTACTGCAAGGGACCTTCATTTGTCTTTGCCAGTCTCTTTCTCTTTGCATATCTATAGAAGCTTTTGCAGTCAGTTTTTTTTTAAATGTTCAGAGCTTTACTCAATATCTGAGCCCTTGCTGTACCATCCTGGGAATGTTTGAAGGGGACAGTGTAGAAGGATCTTTACCCTGTATCTAACCCCATGCTGTCCCTGTCCTGGGAATGTTTGTTGGGCACAGTATAGAGCAGATTACTCTGTATCTACTCCTGTACTGTCCCCAGTTCTAGGAGTCTTCGATGGGGATTGTGTACAGAGAGCTTGATTCTGCATCAATCCCCGTGCTATCCTGGTCCTTGTGTGTGTGTGTGTGTGTGTGTGTGTGATGATAGACAATGTAGAGGCAGCTTTACTCTGTGTCTAACCCCGTTCTGTCCCTGTCCTCAGTGTTTGCTGGGGACGGTGCAGAGGGAGGTTTCATCTATATTTAACCTTGTGATGTACCTGACTTGGGAGTGTTTTGATGCGGTCATTCTGGAGAGAGCTTTATTTGTATCTTAACCCTGTGCTGTCCCTGTCCTGGGAGTGTTTGATGGGGACATTGCAGAGGAAGCTACACTGTATCTAACCCGTTCTTGTTCTGCTCTTGGGAGTGATGATAGCAACAGTGAAAAAGGTGCTTTACTCTGTATCTAACCCTGTGCAGTTCCTGTCGTGAGCGTGTTTGACAGGGACAGTATAGAGAGAGCTTTACTTTTCTTCTAATCCCATGGTGTCCCAATTCCAGAAGTGTTTGGTGGGCAGAGTGTGGAGTGTGCTTTACTCCTGTATTTAACACCTTGTTGTACCTGTGCTGGGAGTGTTTGATGGGGACAATGGAGGGGGAGCTGTTCTCTCTATCTATCCTCATGCACTCCCTGTTCAGGAAGTGTTTGGTGGGGACAGTGTAGCGAGAGCTGTACTCTGTATCTCATCTCATGTAGTCCTGGTCCTGGGAATATTTGAAGGGGATGGTGTTGAAGCTGCTTTACGCTAGATCTAACCACATGCTGTCCCTGTCCTGGAAGTATTTGATGGGACAGTGTTTAAGGTGGCTGTGGAAGGATATGGGTCAAGTGCAAGCCAGTGGAACTAGTTTAGTTTGGGATTATAGTCGGCATGGACTGGTTGGACTGAACTGTCTGTTTCTGTGGTATATGACTCAATGACTCTCTTACTGACTGCTGGACTGTTTTGTAGCCGGCCAATGTTCTCGTTCTGTGCAATGATGTGGACAATTCCAGACGGCTCAATTCGGGAAATTTAACCTGTGATGTAGATCATCCTATCTTCCCAAAACATTCCCGTGTAAGTGAGCAACGTCAACCAATTCTCTCACCTTTATTCCTGGTCTCGTTCTCTCTCTTGTGCTCTCTCTTTCTCATGGTCTCTCTCTCCATCTGTCTTTCTCGCAGTCTCTCGGCCTCTCTCTCCTTGTACCCGTGTTTGCTCCCTCGTTCTTTCTCTCTCTCTCTCTCTCTCTCTCTCTGCCCCCCTCTCTTTCTGTGTCTTTCTCTTTCGCTCACTGTCTGTTCCTTGATGTTTTTGTTGTAAGTATTCTGAGTTTGCCCAGCTCTCACAGAGTCAGAGTTGTACGGGCTGTTTCACGAGATCCCGTCACCCTCTCCTTCTCTCTCTCTATCTCTCCCCTCCCCACCCTCCAGGTAACATTCAGTGCAGAGTTCGACATCTCTGATTCTGAGACAGAAGAAAGGACGGCAAATTTTACCATCACCGCAACCAGGTAAAAGCTTTGTAATCAGACAGGCCGAGCACTCCCAGGACAGGGACAGAATGGGATTAGATACAGAATAAAGCATCCTTTACACTGTCCCCATCAAACACTTGCAGACAGGGACAGCGCGGGGTTAGACGCAGACTAAAGCTCCCTCAATATGTTGTTCTATGAACCTCTTCCCATCTTGGGTTCTGAGTTGAGCAGTGAATGTTGGGACTTGCTGCTGAGGAACGAGCTTTCTGTGAAAGAGCTGCTCACTTGTTATTTCTCTCTCCCTCCTTCTCCCTCTCCTTCCACAGCGGAAACTCTGTCCGGATCACAAATGAGAGCACCCTGTCTCGGACTCTGTTTCTCCGTTATACAGTCAATGTGGTAACCTCGGGGTGAGTGCCTGGTGGTAGTTGCAGGGCGGGGAGGGAGGGTGTGTGACATGGACGATGCGCGAAGTGGGATCCAAGGCAGACCCCCACCCTCTAATTGGGGCCACCCATCGGACACCGACTCTCCATCCAGTGCATTTCTGCCAGACACGTCTTTCCCAACTCCCTGCTCCCTTCACAGACAACCATGTCCCATGTCTCTTCCTGCTTCCCTTCCCCTATCCAATCTCTCTCTCTTGGCCAGGGTGTTGGGTTGGGGTGGGGGGGGTGCGGGGGGCACTGCATGGCATGGTGGCTCAGTGGTTAGCACTGCTGCCTCTCACCACCAGGGACCCAGGTTCGATTCCATCCTCAGGCAACCATCTGCAGAGTTTGTGCATTCTCCTGTGTTTGAGTGGGTTTCCTCCGGGTGCCCCGGTCTCCTCCCACTCCAAAGATCCACAGGTTAGATGAATTGGCCATGCTAAATTGCCCATAGTGTCCAGGCAGGCTTTGTGGATTAGCCATGGGAAATGTAGGGTTATAGGGATAGAGTAGAGGGCATGGGTCTGAGTGGGATGCTCTTTGGAGGGTTGGTGTTGACTCGATGAGCCAAATGGCAGACTTCCACGCTATAGGGATTCTATGAGCTCAGAGCAGAATGAGGAGCCTGCGCCTTCCTCACCCAGAAATTCATGGTATGACTTGGCCAATGAAGAGGAGGAGACAGCCACTCTGCCCCACATCTCTGTGCTGGCCCTCTTGCCAGTCTGTACAATTCTGCCAGTGCCCCCCTGCTCCTTTCCCCTGGTGAGGAATGTTTCCTTCCTCTCGAGTACCACACCCGCACATCCTCCCTCAGACAACCCGTCTGATTTCCTCTGCTCCTATCCCCTAGGGAACAGGCTGTCCTCATTGCCTCAATGGACTCCAGCCCCCTCCCCACCTCCCTCCATCCTGACCTTATCTCAAAAGCCTCAACACTATCTGCCCCCACTCACCCCTGTACATTCACCTGGAGTGTAACATACACCAGGACCAATAAAATCAGGCCATCTGGCCCTTCGACTCTGCTTCCCCCATTGAATAAGATTATGGCTGATCTAATTTTTGACCTTGACCCAACATTGTCTTCCTTCCCCCCTCCCCTTGCCACTGCCCTGCTGCTCATCACACATCTATCTCCCTCTGCCTTCAAAATATGTACAGATTCCATATCTATTGCCATTTCAAGAAGGGAATTTCAAAGAATCTCAACCCTCATGGTAAAATAAAACTGTTTCCTGATTTCTATTTTAAACTCTGTCTTCCCTGGTCTAGTCTCTCCCATGAGAGGATGCATCTTTTCCCACATCCACCCGGTCAAGTCGCCTCAGGATCTTGTATCTTACTATCATAGAATCCCTACCATGTGGAAACAGGCCATTCAGCCCTTCAAGTCCACACCAACCTGCAGAAGTGCATCCCACCCAGATTCACCTCCTTCCTATCCCTGGAACCCTGCATTTCCAATGGCTAATCCACCTAGCCTGTACATCCCTGGACACTATGGGCAATTTAGCACGGCAATTCCAACTAACCTGCACATCTCTGGACTGTGGGAGGAAACCCACCCAGATAATCGCCCGAGGGCAGAATCGGACCCGGGTCCTTAGCACTGTGAAGCAGAAATACTAAACACTGAGCCACGCTACTGCCCCCAGGTGAGGTTATATGTTTAAATTCCGTCACCTCTGAGTGTTAAACTCCCAGAGGATACAGGCCTAGCCCTGGCTAGCCTTTTTCATAAGGCAGTCAGCTCATTCCAGGTATTAGTCCAGTAAACCTTTTTACGAACAGCTTCCAATGCATTAACATCCTTCTGTAAGTATGGCAGTGTTGTACGCAGTACTCTGGATGCAAAAACACCTAATGCTACGTCTAATCGAAGTATAACCTCCCTCCTCTCACAATAAAACAGAACATCCCACTAGCTTTCCTTGCTACTCGTTGTAGCTGCATACTGATCTTCTATGATTCATGCACTGGGAGACCCAGATCCCTCTGCATCTCCAAGCTCTCACCATTTAGATAGGTTATGGACCAGACCAGACTCCCTCAAAATATGTTAAGAAGGTAGCCTAGACCCTAATTTTTTCTTATTTTAAAGGTACATGTGAGGTGCTAAGTTCCAGATGCAATTTGATTGGTGAAACTACTCGATGTTGAATAAAACACAATTTATCCAAACACAATAGTTAAAATGCAACAATAGAAAGAGGAACGTGGAATAACTTAACTCTGTTGGAAAGCTTAACAGAATTTTCGATTATTTTACTCCTAAATAGTGACTGTTTTAATATAGCAACATCCCATAAACACACCCTTGGCAAAAACGCAAGTTCAGAGAAACAGATTGTCTCACTTGCAATCCTATCAACAAGAAAGAGATCCATGCAGCAGCTTACCAAAAAAAAAAGAGAGAGAGAGAGAGAGAGTTTAGCAGCCGAGAGAGATTCACTACCTTCGAACCCTGCTGAGACCCCAGCAACAACTGCTGAAAACAAACTGAAAATCCATAATCTGTGAGAGCTTGATCACACCCACTCAGGCTGCTTCTGTTGTTACAACATCAAAAAAAATCAAGACCTCACAAATTGTGTATTTTCTCATAGACTGCTCGTCGCCTGTCCCCCAATCTCTCTTTAAAAGAAACCAGGATGAAACACACCTCTTAAAGCTACAGCATCATCGGAGAACACACTTATTTTAATTCTATCTGCCAAAATGGACAATTTCACACTTTCCCACGTTGTGCTCCATTTGCCAGATCTTTGCCCACTCTCTGTACCCATCAATGTCCCGTCATAGGCTCCTTATGTCCTGTTCACAAATCACTTTCTTTTCCATCTTTGTGTCATCAGTAAATTTAGCTACAATACCTTCGATCCCTTTGTCCAAATCATTAATCTCGATTGTAAAGAGTAGAGATCCTGGTGCCGATAGCCTGTGATATATTCCTTGTGATATCCTACCAGCTTGGAAAAGAATGATCGCAACTGTTTGCAGCACCACCCCCCCCCTTCCTACCCTCTCCACACCTTCTCCCGTTTCGCTGATAAGCCATTCAGTCCATCTGTCTCTCCCTCTCTTTCCAGAATCGAGTATACACGGCACATCAATGTCACAGCTGGAACACAGGAGGTGCGGCTAGTCAAACATTCCTATCAGGTAAGGCCTCATTTTCACTGGTCTGGATCTCGTGGTTGTTTGCACCCCTCCCATGTGCCAGGTGTAGGGGGTGGGAGGAGTGCAAGACTGAGGCCTGGGCATCCTGGTCCATGAAGGAGCCGGTTTTGATGCTCAGGCCAGAAGCAGGCCCCATCTCTATGCGTCAGCAGTTGTTCGGGAGAGTGTTCAGATTGGGCCACTGTGCAGCGACGCTGTTTGGGCCTCAGGCTCCATTGGGAACAGGGCTAGGCCTGGCACCTCAATTTCAGGACACTGCCACTTTGGGGACACATTTGGGCCCTTGGCCCTCCAACATAGGATTCTGTGAGGCCCAGGGCCTCTGTTTTGGGATGCTGGTGTGCATGTCTTCATCTTAGGGATTAGCTTAGACCTCAGAGACTTTGAGGTGTCTTTAAGCCTTGGGCCACATTTTTGTGAAACTGGGCCTCTACTTTATGACACTGATTTAGCTGTGACACTGCAGCTTTGGGCCTCAGACTCAGATACAATGAATCTTGAGGTTCATACAGTGCAGCAAAAGCCCATTGAGTCTGCACCAACATAATTACCACTAAAGATGCTCTAACACCAATTTCCTGCACTTGTTCCAGAGCATAGGGTCATAGATCTGTGCAGCATGGAAACAGGCCCTTCAGTCCAACTCGTCCATGCCGACCAGATATCCTAAATTAATTTAGTCTCATTTGCCAGCATTTGGCTCATATCTCTCTGGACCCATTCTATTCATGTACCTCTTCCGAATGCCTTTTAAATGTTGTAATTGCACCAGCTTCCACCATTTCCTTTGGCAGCTCATTCTGTACACGCACCACCGTCTGCGTGAAAAAGTTTCCCCTTAAGTTGCTTTTATATCTTTCCCCTCTCATATCATTGGATGTTATGATATTTGAAGTGCTCTGCTGACTTCAGGGGTCTGTGAATAATTACCCCAAGATCCCTGTGTTCTTACAAGCTACTCAGTGTCTTGTCATTCATTCAAAAACTCCCTCATCTTGTTTCTTCTTCATCTCACACTTATCAGGGTTAAATACCATCTGCCACTGGCCTACCCTTCTGACCAGCCCATCTATATCTTCCTGTAACGTACAACCATCTTCTTTGCTATTAACCATCCTGCTAATCTTGGTGTCGTCTGCAAATTTGCTTAACATTCCCCCCACATTTTCATCCAAATCATTTACGTACGTAGCAAACAATAAGGGTCCCATTGCTGATCCTTGTGGTACATCACTGGACGCTAGGTTCCAGTCACCCAAACACCTTTCTACCACTACCCTTTGTGTCCTATTACTAAGCTAGTTTCTGATCCATCTCACTAAGTTTCCCTCAATTCTATGTGTTTTAACCTTCTCAATCAGTTTCCCATGCGCAACCTTTTCAAAAGTTTTGCTAAAAATCCATATAAACTATATTAGCTGAACTTCCCTCATCCACACACTTGATCACATTTTCAAAAAAATTCTAACAAATTTGTTAGGCATGACTTCCCTCTGACAAAGCCATGCTTACCATCCATAATTAATCCATGCCTTTCCGAGTGTTTATTAATTCATTCCTTCAGAATTTTCGCTAGTAGCTTTCCTACCGCTGACATGAGACTCATTGATCTGTAACTTCCTGATTTATCTTTACCACCCTTCTTGAAATGTGGAACTGCATTAGCCATACTCCAGTCCTCTGGCACGTCCCCCATAGTCAGAGAAGAATTAAAAGATTGTTTCAGAGCCCCTGCAATTTCCTGTCTCACCTCCCACAGCAGCTTGGGATGCAATTAATCTGGGCTGGGGGATTTGGCCATTTCCAAGCCGTACGGAGCCTCCAATACCTTCCCATTTCCTAAGTAAAACTGTGCAAGTTCCTCACAGTCCCTTTTTTTCTGAATTCTGTACCCACATTCTTCTTTTCCAGAGTGAAGACCGGAGAGAAGTATTCGTTTAACACCCTTCCAATATCCTGCAGCTTCATGCTCGGCTGCCCCTTGGTCTCTAATGGGCCCTACATTTTCCTTGTTAACCTCTTCCCTTTAATGTATTTATAAAATTCTTAGGAATCTCCCTAGCCCTGTTCGCAAGTCCTTCTTCATGCCACCTTTTTGTCTTTCAACCGCTTTCTTAAGTTCCCTCCTGCACTTCCTGTATCCCTCTAGGGCTGCAGCTGAATTGCTCTTTTGGAGTTGCTAAAAAAAAAAGCCCTTCTTCTTTCTCCAGTCCTGAATCATCTTCAACATCCAGGGTTCTCTGAACTTATTGCTCCTATATTTCCCTCTAAAGCGTACATGTTGGACCTTTCCTCTCCCCAGCGCCTTTTTGAATGCCCCTCCCACTGCTACGCTGTAGACTTAATCGCAAGTAGCTGTTCCGAGTCAACTGTGGTCAGATCCTACATTATTTTAATAAAATCTGCCTTCCCCCCCACCCCCCCCCCCAATCCAAAGCCATCTTTTGCAGGTCACCTTTTTCCTTGTCCAGAAGAAATTTGAACTGTATCATTGCTGTGGTCACTATTGCCTAAATGTTTCTCCACTGCCACGTCAAAAACTTGTAGGGCTTCTTTCCCCAGAACCAGACCCAGCACTGCACTGCACCGATTCTTGTCGGGCCTTCTACGTATTGATACAAAACATTCCCCTGGATATGTTTCAAGAAATCCGCCCTCTAACACTATGACCAGTTTATGTTGGGAAAGTTGAAATCCCCTAGCGTAATTACCCAGTTGTTATGCTGACACACCTCTGTGAACTGTCTACATACTTGTTCCACTGATTCCTGCTTACTCTTAGCGGCCCAATATCACACACCCAGTAAAGTAGCTGCCACCTTAACATTCCTAATTTCTACACACAAAGCTCTGTTAGAGGACCCTTCTAAGATATCATCTCTCCATATTGCAGTAATTGACTCCTTAATTAATAGTGCCACACCACAACCCTTTTTACACCTTCCTCTGTCTGTACTAAAAATTCTATACCCTGGAATGTTGAGTTGCCAGTCCAGTCCTTCCCTCAACCATGGCAACAATATCATACTTCCACTGATTAATCAGTCTTACCTATTAAAGAGCTGCCAGAGGAAGTAGTCGAGGTTGGTACAATTATAACATGTAAAAGGCATCTGGATGGGTATATGTATAGGAGCGGCTTAGAGGGGTATGGGCCAAATTCTGGCAAATTGGACTAGATTTATATAGGATATCTGGTCAGCATAGACAAGTTGGATCGAAGGGTCTGTTTCTGTGCTGTATATCTCTATGATTCTCTCACATTCCTAGCATTAAAGACATCCAATTAAGGACATAAAAGGGTCTCTGGCTTATTGCTGGTTTTCAGGCTTCACTTTTGGGCCACTGTTGGTTCCACAGCCTCATTTTGGGCAACTGTTCTGCTTTGGGCCTCCATTTTAGGACCTGTTGCATATATTTCCTCCATTTTGGAAACTGTTGTGCCTTGTTAATCCATTTACAGGACATTTCTGGGCATTGAGCCTCCCTGCATGGTAGACCAACAGCCTCTATTTTGTAGCACTGTTCTGCCTCTGACCTCCTTTTCAGGAAACCTTTAGTCATCAGTCCTCCATTTTGAGATACTGCTGGCCCCTGGCTCCATTTCATAGCACTGTTTTGTTTCTGACTTTTCCATCAATGGGATAGTGTTGAGTCCAGGCTTCTCTGGAGGGACACCGTTGGGCTTGAATTTGGAGCCACTGTTCGCTCTCAAACCTCCAATTTGGGATGCCGTTGCATTGCTGACCTCCACTGTGACCCCTACCTCCATTTTATAACACAATTGTGCCTCCGATTTCCATTTATTGAGACTGTTGGGGCTATGGCCTCCTTTTGGAGGAGACCATGAGACATTGGGTCTCTATTTAGGCGACAATGCTGACCCAGAGGGGGAAAACCAGGAGGACTGGCCTTGCATATGCCCAGTATACTTTGGTATTTGGTACTGGCATTGGTCATATTTAGACATAACAATATCCAAATTACCATGTGTTTAATATTGATAAAGTCGTCATCGTCCCAGAGGACCAGAGAGCTTCTATCTCATTAGAAAAAGACAACTGATGGTAGTTGAACCTGAGGGTCTCCACACCACAGGCAAGGGGAGAGGTTGAGAAGGCGGAACGTTCATGCGACCTCAGCCGGTGTAAGAAATGAACCCACCCTGCATTGCAAACCAGCTGACTGAACTAAACTCATCGCCCCCTACTGCTGTGGAGGTCTGGGGGTGGGGGTGCGTTCTCCTCCAGTTTCCCTCCCTCTCCCATTGCCCCCTGCTGCTGTAGAGGTCTGGGGTGGGTGGGGCTAGGGCGTCTCCTCCAGTTGCCTCACCTCATCATCGTTCCCTGTTGGTGTGGAGGCCTCATACAGCTTGGAAACATACTCTTCAGTCTAACTCGCCTGTGCCAACCAGACATCCCACCTGACCTGGTCCCATTTGCCAGCATTTGTCCTGTAATCCTGTAAATCCTTCCGATTCGGATATCCATCCAGGAGCCTTTTAAACATTGTGTTTGTACCTGGCTCCTCTGTTTCCTCTGGCAGCTAGTCCATACACGCCACACCCGCTGCATGAAAAAGTGATGGCAGTGAAAAGTATTGTTTTATGTGCTAACCAGACAAATCATACCTTGCATAAGTACATCTTGGTAACAGAACAAAATTCACAATATATTGTCAGTGTTAATAATGTCTTCCATTTAAGAGAGTGGTGAAAGGAATCTTTTTCTCTCAGTGGTTTGTTAGTGTTTCGAATTAATTGGGGATGGGCTGTTGAATCTATTCAAGGCTAAGAGACTGAAAGATAGAGTCATAGAACTATACAGCATGGAAACAGGCCCTTCGGTCCAATTTGTCCACGCCAACCAGATATCCTAAATTAAACTAGTCCCATTTGCCAGCATCCGTCCACATCCCTCTAAACCCTTCCTGTTCATATACCCATATACCCATTCAGATGCCTTTTAAATGTTGTAATTGTACCAGCCTCTTCCACCTCCTCTGGCAACTCATTCCATGCATGCATCACCCTCTGCGTAAAAAAGTTGCCCCTTAGGTCCCTTTTAAATCTTTCCCCTCTTATCTAAAACCTATGTCTTGTAGTTTTGGACTCGCCCCAAACTAGGAAAAAGACTTTGGCTATTCATCCTATCCATGCGTCTCATGATTTTATAAACCTCTATAAGGTCACCCATCAGTCTCCAACATTCCAGGGAAAAGAGCCGTAGCCTGTTCAGCCTCTCTCTATAGCTCAAACTCTCTAGTCCTGGCAACATCCTTGTAAATTTTTTCTCAAGTTTATCAACATCCTTCCAATAGAAAGCCAACCAGAACTGTACCCAGTATTCTAAAAGTGGTCTCAAAAATGTCCTGTACAGCCACAACATGACTTCCCAATTCCTGTACTCAATGTTATGACCACTGGAGGCAAGTGTATGAAACGGCTTCTTCACCACCCTGTCCATCTGTGACTCCACTTTCAAGGAACCATGAGCCTGTACCCCTAGGTCTGTTTATTCAGCAACGCTCCCCACTGCCCTACCATTAACTGTGTAAGTTCTGCCCTGGTTTGCCTTACCAAAATGCAACACATCACATTTATCTAAGTTAAATTTGATCTGCCACTCCTCGGCCCTTTGGCCTATCTGATCACTGTCTCGGGGGATTCCTTTGGCTGTCCTCCTGTCACCTCCTGCTGCTGTGGAGCTTCTGGGGACTGTACCAACTACAGTCCCTCAACATCGCCCCCTGCTGTTTTGGAGGTCCCAGGGAACTCCCCTAGTTGCCCTCCGTCACCATCACTCCTGATGCTGCTGTGAAGGAGATCCCTGGATGGATCACACAGTTTTCCCCGGGTGGTTCCCGGTGATCCCCAGATGGATCACGGAGGCACGGAGGATAGAACGTCCATGGGAATCCATGGTGAATGAGTCTGAGCAGGAGGCAACCTCCAGATGCATGTGATAGGTTTGTGGAAGGGGTGTACGATGAGCCGAATGATATTATTGCTGGATTGCAGTACCTAGTGGGGTGCCACAGGGATCGGTGCTGGGACGCTAGCCATTCACAATATATATTAATGATTTGGATGAGGGAACAAAATGTAACATCTCCAAGTTTGCAGATGATCCCAAGTTGGGTGGGAGGGTGAACTGTGACTAGGACGCAGAGATCCTTCTGCATGCTCTGGACAGGTTGGGGGAGTGGGCAAATCAATGGCAGATGCAGTATAATTTGGATAAATATGAGGTTAATCACTTCGGAAGCAAAAACAAGAAGGCAGGTTACTACCTGAATGGCAGTAAGTTGGGAGAAGGGCGTGTGCAGCAGGACCTGGGGATGCTTGTGCACTAGCCGCTGAAGGTAAGCATGCAGGTGCATCAGGCGGTAAAGAAGGCAAAAGGTATGTTGGCGTTCATTGCGAGAGATTTCAAGTGCAGGAGCAGGGATGTGTTGTTGCAGTTATATAGGGCCTTGGTGAGGCCACACCTAGAATATTGTGTGCAGTTTTGGTCTCCTTTTCTGAAGAAGGATGCTCTTGTTCTGAAGGGAGTGCAGTGAAGGTTTACCAGACTGATACTGGGAATGGCGGGTCTGACGAATGAGGAGAGATTGAGTAGGTTGGGATTGCTTTCGCTGGAGTTCAGGCAAATGAAGTGGGATCTGATAGAAACTTATAAAATTCCAATAGGACTGGACAGGGTAGATGCAGGGAGAATGTTCCTGATGGTGGGTGTGTCCAGAACCAGGGGTCACAGTCTGAGGATTCGGGGTAGACAATTTAGGACAGAGATGTGTAGATTCATTACCACAGGAAATAGTTGATGCCAAAACATTGAATGTATTCAAGTGGTGACTAGATATAGCAGTTGGGGCGAATGGGATCAAACGTTATGGGGAGAAAGCAGGATTAGGCTATTGAGTTGGACGATCAGCCATGATCGTGAAGAATGGTGGAGCAGGCTGGAATGGCCTCTTCCTGCTCCTGTCTTTTATGTTTCTATGATTGTCAATCCAGAGACCCCAGTAATGTTTTGGGGAGCCAGGTTCAAGTCCCATCCTGGCAGACTGTGGAGCTTGAATCCAATAAAAATCTGGAGTCTAATGATGACCGTGAATCTATTGTCGATTGTCGGAAAAAGTCATCCGGTTCACTAGAGCCATAGTCATATCGCATGGAAACAGACCTTTCAGCCCTCCATGTCGACCAGGTTTTCCAAACTGAACTTGTCACATTTGCCTGTGTTTGGTCCAAATCTCTCTAAACCCTTCTTATCCATGTATGTGTCCAAATGTCTTTTAAATGTTGTAGATCTACTCGCCCCTATCACTTCCTCTGTTGGCTCGTTCCACATACACACCACTCTCTGCATGAAAAAGTTACCTTTGGCGGCACAGTAGCTCAGTTGTTAGCACTGCTCCCTCATAGCGCCTAGGGACCCGGGTTCGATTCCAGTCTCAGGCTGTCAACTCTTTCTGTATAGAGTTTGCACATTCTCCCTGTGTCTGCATGGGTTTCTGCTGGGTGCTTCGGCTTCCTCCCACAGTCCAAAGATGTGCAAGATAGGTGGATTGGCCATGCTAAATTACCCATAGTGTTCAGGGATGTGTAGGTTAGGTGCATTAACCACAGGAAATACAGGGATAGGCAGGGGGATGGGTCGAGGTGGGATTCTCTCCGGAGGGTTGGTGTGGACTTTTTGGGCCGAATGGCCTGTTTCCACACTGTGTGGATTATTTCCCCTCACCTTAAACTTATGCCCTGTAGTTTTTGACTCCTCTGCCCTGGGTATGTTTTAGGGCAGGAAACGGCCACCCGTTCCTTATCTGGCCTACATGTGACTCCAGGCTCACAGCAATGCGGTTGACTCCTAAATGCTCTCTGAGCAATTACGGATGGGCAATAAATGCTGGCCTAGCCAGCAATGCCCACATCCTGTGAATGAATTAAAAAAAAGATAGTCTTTGTACAGACTGAGTCAAACACTAGGAAGTACGACAAAAGTATTGAGGAAGGATAAGAAGGAAGGTGAGAATGGAAATCCTAATGGAGAACAGGGTCTAAAGGAGGGGTCACTGAACTCGAGACATTAACTCTGCTTTCTTTCTCCCTCTCTCTGTCTCTCTCTCTCCATGGTAGCGGCCAGACCCGCTGAGATTCTGCAGCGATTTCTGCTTTTGTTTCAGATTTCCAGCATCGGCATTACTTTTTCTCTGTGAGATCTTTAAGGTTTATTCTGCCCCATGTCTAGGTCTGGGCACTGTACGATCCTGGCAAGTGTTAGGAGCTGGGGAATGTTCTCTCTGTCTCTCCCTTTGCCATCTTTCCCCCAGCACTTCCTGCACAGCATCGATACAGAACACCGCACCACAGCATACACCCACCACCATTCCCCCTCCGCTCCCCGCCATCAACCCCACCCCCAGCATTTGTCTCCAATCCACTGAGGCACAGTAATCCAGGAAATGTGGCTTTGGCTGCAGCTCAGGGATTCATCGTTCCCCTCAGCCATGTTTGGAAATGTGAGCCGTCACTTCTGTGGAGTTTCACAATCCTCTGTTCTGCAATTGCACAAAAGAGCAACAATGACCATGATGTATTGTGATTTGGAGTTTATTGCTACAAACGCCTTTTTGGGGACACTGTTCTGGCCTTGGGCCTCCACTGTGGGGATGCTGTGGGCCTCAAGTATCCATTTTGGGAAACATTTGGGGTCTGGGTTTCAATTTTGGAGACACTAAGGTCTGTAGACCACCATTTTGGAGGCACAGTTGTTCCTCGGGCCTCAATTCCAGAGACAGGATGGAGCTACAGGCATCCATTCTTGGGAGACGGTTGGGGCTTGGCCTTCCATTTTGGGGCTATCGTGGACTTCAAGCCTCCATTTTGAAGACACAGTTGGGCTCTGGATCTCTATTTTAGGGGCACTGTTGGGTCAATTTTCGGTGTGCTGTTTTGGACCCTGGGCCTCCGCTATGGTTACGCTGTGGGCCTCAGGCCTTCATTTTTGAGAAAGAGTTGGGGCCTAGTTTTCCATTTATGGGGACACTGCACACTTCTGGGCTCCTATTTTGGGGACAGTGTTACAATTGAGGCCTCCATTTCGAGGACACAGTTGGGTATCAGGCTTCCGTTTCTGCCCTGTAATCAGGCTCCTTCCTTGTTTAGTGTGGCTCAGAGGGAAACGGAGGAGGGAGCGTAGCGATGGCCCAGCAGGGCGGGTTGCGGAGGGGATGTTGCTGGTTTCTGAGCTTGACTGCCGTCTCTGTTGGCCATAGGTGGAGAACTTGGGTGACCGCAGCCTGCCCATCGGACTGACACTTGCAGTTCCGGACCTTCTCAGCGGGCAACCATTCTGGAACGTCACCGTATCGTCACAAAACCAGGTGAGTGCGCCCACGGCAGGAGACGGTGCGAGCGTGGATGGACGGCTAGCAGGGAGCAGGTGCTGAATATCCGTCAGGATGTCCCAGGGCCCTGTCCAGCCATCTGTAGGGCGGCATAGTGCTCAGTGGTTAGCACTGCTGCCTCAAAGTGCTGGGTTTGATTCCAGCCTGTGTGTGGTGTTTGCACATTCTTCCCATGTCAGTGTAGGTTTCCATTCATTGCTCTGGTTTCTTTCCACAGTTCAAAGGTGTGCAAGTAATGTGGGGTTACGTGTTGGGGGATGAGTGGGATGCTGTTCGGAGGGTCGACGCTGACTCGAAGTGCAAAATAGCCTTTTTCCACACAGTAGAGATTCTATAATTTTATCTAGATCCAGGAACCCTAGCAAAACTGGAATCAATGGGTATCAGGGGCCAAACTCTCCGGTGGTTGGAATCATACCTGACACATAGGAAGATGGTTGTGGTTGTTGGAAGTCAGTCATCTCAGCTCCAGGACATCTCTGCGGGAGTTCCTCAGGGTAGTGTCCTCGGCCCAATCATCTTCAGCAGCTTCATCAATAACCTTCCCTCCATCATAAGGTCAGAAGTGGGGATGTTTGCTGATGATTGCACAATGTTCAGTAACATTTGCGACTCTTCAGATACCAGAGCAGTCCATGTTCAAATGCAGCAAGGTCTGGACAATATCCAGGTTTTTGCTGACAGGTGGCAAGTAACATTCATGCCACATAAATGCCAGGCTATGACCATCACCAGTAAAAGACAATCTAACCATCATCTCTTGTCAGTTAATGGTATTATCATGACTGAATCCCCCACTGTCAACATCCTGGGTGTTACTATTGACTAGAAACTGAACTGGACTAGCATTATCAATATTTTGGCTATAAGAGCCTTGGGCAACTGTCTGTGTGGAGTTTGCACATTCTCCCCATGTCTGTGTGGGTTTCCTCCGGGTGCTCCAGTTTCCTCCCACAGTCCAAAGATGTGCAGGTTAGGTGAATTGGCCGTGCTAAATTGCCCTAGATTAGGTGGGTTATAGGGGGGATGAGTCTGTGTGGGATGCTCCGAGGTTCGGTGTGGACTTGTTGGGCCGAAGGGCCTGTTTCCACACTGCAGGGATTCTATGATTCTAAGACCAGGTCAGAGGCTAGGAATACTGCAGCTACTAACTCACCGCCTGACCCACACCAAAGCCTGTCCATCATCTACAAGTCACAAGTCAGCAGCGTGATGGACTATTCCCCACTTGCCTGGATGAGTGCAGCTCCAATGACACTCAAGAAGCTTTTTACCATTCAGGACAAAGCAGCCCGCTTGACTGGCACCACATCCACAAACATCCACTTTGTCTACCACTGACATTCAGTAGCAGCAGTGTATACTTTCTAAAAGTGACGATGAAGAAATTCACTGAAGATCCCCAGACAGCACCTTCCAAACCAACAACCACTTCCATCTAGAATGTTAAGGACTTATGATGGAGAGAAAGTCGGAGTGCATAAGGGGGAGTTGAGAAAGAGGTTTCCAGTTTGATCTAGTCATGTTAAATGTTGGCAGTTGTTTACCAGTGATGAGATACTTGTACATAGTGCAAGAAATATGGTCCGTGCTTTCTAACTATCTGGATGTCAAAAGCAGTTAAAGTGGGGAGTTGCACGTATTTCATAAATGTTATCATTTATGATGACTCTGGCTGTATCTACAGTGCATTACCCCATTGAGGGGTAGCATTCTTGATGGTGAGAGATGTTCCGAGAACAGACGGGTGGGAGTTTGCATTGCACAGCGTTGATATGAATTTGTGACTTTGTCTCCTGTCTGCCCCCACACCGCCGCTTTCCAGATGAACCATTCTGTCTGCCCACCGCCTGTCAAGAGAGACACGTGGCTGGAGAGGATGTCAGTTCAAGACAGACGAGACAGTGTCAGTGAGGTAAGAATGTGCAAACGGCATTTGGGAAACCAAGAATTATCCCTTCACTCTGCTGGAGATGTCTGGGCCACCATCCAATATGTCCTCCTGCTCTGTCCCGCACTGTAAATTAGCCCCTTCGAGTGTCCCCCTCTGGGTCTCTCACCAATCGCCCTCAATCTGTGTCCCTCTCCAGGTCTTTAACCGATTGCCCTCAATCTTTGTCCCTTTATTTTATATCGTCTTTCAATATTCTTCCAAGCAAAATGCATCACCTCACACTTTTCTCTGAATTGAATTGTATCTGCCCACTCCTCCAACTTGTCAATGTTCTTTTGGAGTTCCAAACTGTCCTTCTCACAGTTTGCAATTCTCCCAAGTTTGGTGTCCCATCTGCAAATTTTGAAATTATGCACCGCATGCCAAGATCCAGAGCATTTATCAGGAAAAGTAAGGGGTCTAATGATTCTTTCATAAAATAGACTCATTGAGCAAGGAAACAAACCCTTCGATCCAACCAGTCCACGCTGACCATGATCCTAACCTAAAGCAGTCCCACCTGCTTGTGCTTGGCCCATATCCCTCCAAACCTTTCCTGTTCAGGAACTTATCCAAATGTCTTTTAAATATTGTAACTGTACCTGAATCCACCACTCCCTGGCAGTTCATTCCACACAAGAACCATTCTCTGGGTAAAAAAGTTGTCCCTCATATCCTTTTAAACTCTTTCTCCTCTCATCTTAAAATATGCCCCCTAGTTTTGAACTCCCCTACTCTAGGGAGAAGACCCTTGTTATTTACCGTATCTATGCACTTCGTGATTTTATAAACTTCAATAAGGTCACCACTCAATCTCTGATGCTCCAATGAAAAACGTCCCAGCCTTTCCTGTCTATTTTTATATTTGAAACTCTCCATTCCCTCAACTGGTAAATCTTATCAGAACCCTCTCCAGTTTAATAGTACCCTTCCTAAACAGAGCGACCAGAACTGCACATAATACTCCAGAAGAGGCCACACCAACGTCCTATACGACCTCAACACGACATCCCAACCTCTATATGCAAAGGTCTGAGAATGAAGGCAAACGTGCTAAATGCCTTCTTAACTACTCCGTCTACCCGTGATGCAAATTTCAAAGAATTATGTACCTGAGCCCCCTGGGCCTTTCTGTTCTACAACAGAACCGAGGGCTCTAACATTAATTGCCCTGTCCTCACATTTAGAACATGGAACAGTACAGCACTGGAACAGGCCCTTAAGCCCAAGACATTGTGCTAATCATGACACCAAATTAAACTAATCCCTTCTGCTTGTCCATTGTCCATAACCCTCCATTCCTTTTTTATTCATATGATTATCTAAAAGCCCCTTAAACACCCCTATCATTTCTGTCTCCACCACCACCCCTGGCAGCACCTTCCAGGAACTTACCACTCTCTATGTAAAAAGAAATTTGCCTCATCTCCTTTGAACTTACCCCTCTCACCTTAAATGCATGCTGTCTAGTATTAGACATTTCAACTCTGGGGAAATAGATTCTGACTGTCAACCGCATTTATGCCTCTCATTATTTTATAAACTTCTGTCAGGTCTCCCCTCAGCCTCAGCCTCAGCCTCTGCTAATCCAGAGAAAACAGCCCTAGTTTGTCTAGCCTCTCCTTATAGCTCATACCCTATATAGCTTGGGTGTCTTTGGAGATCGAGCACACGGTATCCACCAATGCTCTCGATGCCTTTAGGGAGAGGTGGGCACCATGGGGGAGTGGAGTGCTTTATTTCCCCCTCTAACTCTATTCTGATTTGAATCCCCATCCTCCCCCTTCATATTTTTCACATAAGCAGTGCCCATACCAGGTTTTGCTTGTAACAGGTTCCCTGGCCACATGGGTGTTTTTTTTTTAACTAGTGTTGGAATATTGAATAAAATTATTTATACCAATGGTGTTTTCACTGAGTCCCTGCGCAACACCCACAACACAGGTGCTGGGGGTAAACAAGTAAGCAGTACTGTTGTATGGCAGTAGTATGGGCAAAAATATATAAACAGGAGATTTAGAATCTCCTGTGTTCAGGCAACTGACAAAAAAAGGACATTAGAATCTTCTCAGTTCAGGGGGACTGACTCTGAGCTGGCTGGCCAAGCCAGTGTACCGTGCACAAAAATTATAGCTCATACTCTCTAATCCAGGCAACATCCTGGTAAACCTCTTCTGCACCCTCTCCAAAGCCTCCATGTCCTTCCTGTAATGTAGTGGCCAGAGTTGAATGCAAAACTCTTAAGTGTGACCTAATCAAAGTCTTATAAAGCTGCATCATGATATCCTGACTCATTACTCAATTCCCTGACCAATAAAGGCAAGCATGCCATATGCCTTCTATACCACCCTGTCTATTTGTGTGGCCACTTTCAGGGAGCTATAGACTATGACCTCAAGATCCCTCTGTATATCGATGCTATTAACAGTCCTGCCACTAACTGTGTACTTTCCCTTATCATTTGGTCTCCCAAACTGCAACACCTCATACTTGAATCAGAGATAGTAGGAACTGCAGATGCTGGAGAATCCGAGACAACAAGGTGCAGGGCTGGATGAACACAGCAGGCCAAGCAGCATCATAGGAGCAGAGAGGCTGACGTTTCGGGCCTCGACCCTTCATCAGAAAAGGGGGAGGGGAAGGGGGTTTTGAAATAAATAGGGAGAGAGTGGGAGGCGGATAGAAGAGGGATAGAGGAGAGGATAGGTGGAGAGGAAACAAACAGGTCGAAGAGGCGGGGACGGGACCTCATACTTGTCTGGATTAAACTCCACCTGCCATTTCTCTGCTCATATTTGCAACTAATCTATATCCTGCTGTATCCTTTGACAACCTTCTACACTATCCACAACTCCTCAAATTTTTGTGTTGTCTGCAAATTTACTAACTCACCCTCTACGTTTTCATCCAAGTCATTTATATATATCACAAACAGCAGAGGTCCCAGTATGGATTCCTACGGAACCCCACTAGTCACAGACTTCCAGCCAGATAAACGCCCTTCCACCACTACCCTTCAATGGGCAAGTCAATTCTGAATCCAAGTAGGCAACTCACTGTGGATCCCATGCATCTTAATCTTCTCAACGAGCCTACCATGACAGGGACTTTGTTGAAAACCTTACAAAAAACCACGTAAACAACATCTATTGCTCTACTATCATTGATCATTCTCGTCACCTCCTCAAAATAGTCAATAAAATTAATAGGACGTGACCTGCCCCACCAAAGCCATGCTGACTGGCCCTAATTAGGCCATGTTTTTCCAAATACACATAAATCCACTACCTAAGAATCCTCTCCAGTAGCTTCCCAACCACCGATGCGATACTCACCGGCCTATAATTTCCTGGATTATCCCTATTTCACGTCGTGAACAGAGGAACAACATTAATGACTCATTAGTCCTCAGGGACCGCTCCAGTGGCTAGAGAGGATGCAAAGATGCAAATCCAAATTTAATTATCCAAATTAAACTCCATCTGCCAGTCCTCAGCCCATTGATCCAATTGATCAAGATCTCTTTGTAATCATAGATAACCTTCTTCACTGTCCACTAGACTACCAGTTTTGGTGTCATCTGTGAACTTACTAACCATGCCTCCTGTATTCCCAACCAATGTTCTGTCCGTTCCAGGACTGTGGGATCGCACCATGCATTCTGCTGAGGTGTCACGTTTCAGAACTGCAGGGGCACAAGAGGCTAATCGTTGACATCCAAGGGGAGCTGAGGACAGAGGCAATTACCCAGGTAGGAGTCTTTTCTCTGACCAGCACTTCAACCAGGATCTTGATGTCAATACTGTAAATCATCCTGTATTTCCACTGAGACTAATCAGTGCTGAGGGAGCATGGCACTATCAGAGGGTTGGGCTCAGGGAGCGCCAGAATGTTGGATGCACTGTTGGAGGTCAGTGCTGAGGGAACACCTCATTGTCGGAAGGTCTGTGCTGAGGGAGTGTTGTACTGTCAGAGGAGCAGTGCTGAGCGAGTCCTGTACTGTGCGAAGGTGAGTACGGAGGGAGCACTGCGCTGTCGGACCGTCAGTGCTGAGGGAGCGCCGCGCTGTCGGACCGTCAGTGCTGAGGGAGCGCCGCGCTGTCGGACCGTCAGTGCTGAGGGAGCGCCGCGCTGTCGGACCGTCAGTGCTGAGGGAGCGCCGCGCTGTCGGACCGTCAGTGCTGAGGGAGCGCCGCGCTGTCGGACCG